CAAAAATTCTTTAAATCTCTTGCAATACGAAGTAGTATAACAAAGAGTACATTTGGATAGGGCACGAACGTAATTCCACGCAGTTACAGTGAATAAAAGGAGACCATTTTGATTACTTAGGCTTCAATTTAATGCCTACCTGAAAAGGTTGAAACCCATTGTTGATTTGCAAAATGTTTCTACTACTTCAAATCAATATGAGCTTATTCTCCATGAGCGAATTTGCTGGTTTATGAAATATTAACAAGACAGTCAAGCAAATAAAATGCCCGTAGACAGTCGTTTCTTTCATACGTTCTTTTTAACAAAACATGCAATTTTCTCTTTTCTTTTCTTTTTTCTTTTCTTCTCTTTCGATTGTATATATTCATTCTCCAATATGCAGCCACTGGAGATTTCTTTGAAGAAACAAGTGCTAAATCCAGAAAATATACTTCTGTCAAAGGTTCTTCATTAAATTGGATAAACTCGGTTTGGGACGCCTGTCGTGCTGTTACCATTTATCCTTCTTTGGTGCTCCACTTCTGGTAGAAATCGAGCACTGAATAAGGAACTCTTCTTACTAATATGCGTCATCTGTCCTTGAGTCCCTAGGTTCTCAAACACAAGTTTGTGGAAGACACGGACACACAACACTTCACTGGTTGAATAAAATTTTCCTTATGGAATTTCTGGTGTTGCATGTCTATTTTGATGCATGTTGCCTAAGAATACCAAGAAGTATTTCTGCTTTTTTCCCCATAAAATATAAAAGTGGGTCTGTTGTCCATGAATGTGCAGATAATGACATGTAAATATAATTATATATTTACCTGTTTAGTACATTCAAACTGTTCAGACCTACATGATCCTATCATGCCCTCTAGCCCAATTTACTGTCACTATTGTACTTTACTATTGTACTTTACATCATAGCATACCCCACCAACATCGGCATTCTGAGAAGCGAAACAATAGTGGGACGAGGTAAAGAGACAATTGTACAATAGTGACAGTAAATTGGTCTAGATGCTTTGTGGCTCTACCCAAAGGGACGGACACTCCCCAATTACTGGATGGCCTTGCGTGAATGCACACCCCAAGCAGGCCTGCCAACTGAGGGGAGTTTAGTGGAAACATTTCTAATAATGTGTATGCACTATGCGTTTTGAGGACAATTCCCTGGTCACCCCAAAAGCAAGACACCAGGGACCAAAGTTAGGACAGCAGTAAAGGACCTGAAATCAGGACAGTCCTGACGGAATTGGGATGGTTGGGAGGCATGTCATTATTCAAATGCATTAAATATCTAGGATGGAAAATAAATTCTGATGCCTTCTACGCTACTGTCAGCAAGTAGGCTTGACCAGTTTATACGTCGAGTGCTAATATTTATTTTCTTTACTTCCACGGACATTTTAAATAACAGGCAGGATTGTAATACATTTTAAAATGCACACTTTATCCCACATTGTAAAAGGATTGTATTAGTAGCCATACACAACATCTATACCTGCATTATTACATTATTTTATTTTATTATTTTACCATGCTTACATCTACTTTTATGTTATTCATTTAGAACTTCTATTTCTGTACATTTACATTATTTTTGTTTTATTAATATTGTTTCATTATATTTTATGAAATGTTTTGTTACAAAGTTGCTTATAAGAAAGAGAGAGCCCTGTAAGAGTGATATGCCAGCAGGCCATGTTTCAATGCCATATACACCATGCTATTAAATAGCTTTCAGTGATATTTTTGTGCCAGTGGGTAGGTTATTTTTGACAGTGATGGAATGAAGATTTTCTGTTAAGTTTGGGAATATGAACACTCTTTCTAATTACTGATCAGTAAAGTCCAGTGCCAAATTTAATTTTGGCAGCATTGAATTAAATGTTTCCATTTCACCTGAACATAACTTTGAGCACACTGGTCTTTTAACCCCTTAAGGACACATGACATGTGTGACATGTCATGATTCCCTTTAATTCCAGAAGTTTGGTCCTTAAGGGGTTAAAGGGACCTTAAAGGGACACAGTGCCGAAGTGCTTCTGGTGTTAACTGCCTATGCATCATATTAAATGGGGAGACTGTCATCACTGGGCAAAGTGGAGCCGTGGCAAGAGGACGTTAGCAAACCTTTTTTGCTCACTCCAAACATAAAACTAAATATTAGTCCTGACGTTGTCCGATACATGTGCGTGCACCAAAAAAAATGCGCAAAACTTCATATTTAAAGACCGACTGGGTTATTTTAGAATGTTCTGTGTTTAATAAATACTGCACTATGATATTTTTCTTTTGTTTTTACATGTAATGTAATTCAGTTTGAGCGGTAAATATATCACTACACTAGTGATTGTGGCACCCTAAACTGTATGTCTTTCTAGCCATACTGACCTTTTGCAATACATTGTATTTAACACATATTCCTATATATATATATATATTAATTAATGTATTTTTTTCTTTTCCATTTTTTGAAATTTGTAAAAAATATGTTTTTTTTCAGTTTTAAAGGATCACTATAGGGTCAGGAACACAAACATGTATTCCTGACCCTATAGTGTTAAAACCACCATCTAGCCTCCCTGGGCCCCTCATGCCTCCATAAATATAGTAAAAATCTTACTGTATTCAAGCCTGAAGCTGTAACTCTGCATGCTGTTTGACTCAGAAAAACAAACAGTCTGCTGACATCATCTGAAGTGGTAGCCTGATCCAATCACAATGCTTCCCCATAGGATTGGTTGAGACTGACAAAGATGCAGATCAAGGACAGAGCCAGCATGATTCAAACACAGCCCTGGCCAATCAGCATCTCCTCATAGAGATGAATTGAATCAATGAATTTCTATGAGGAACGTTCAGTGTCTGCATGCAAAGGGAGGAGATACTGAATGTTTGGATGCATTTTAGGCAGCCATGACCCAGGAAGGATCTCTAACAGCCATCTGAGGAGTGGCCAGTGAAGTTATCACATGGCTGTAATGTAAACACTGCATTTTCTCTGAAAAGACAGTGTTTACAGCAAAAAGCCTGAAGGTAATGATTCTACTCACCAGAACAAATTCAATAAGCTGTAGTTGTTCTGGTGACTATAGTGTCGCTTTAAGGTAATAATCCTCTCTTTTGCCCCCTTTTTATTCTCCAAATTTTTTTAGGTAGTTTTAAAGGGACACTATAGGTACCCAGACCAATTCAGCTTATTAAAATGGTCTAGGTGCAGTGCCCCTGTACCTTTTCTTTGAAACTGCAATCATGAACTTGCAGAGTAAGACTGTATCTAGTGGATGTCAATTAGACAGTCACTAGAGGCACTTCCTGGTGGATAGATGATGTCAACGTTCGCCACACAATAGCACTCCCATCCCCGGTGACGTCAGGGGGAGGGGTAGAGTGTTGGCCTAGTGCCGAGGGACATTGGAATCAGTAAGTACAGTAAGGGTTTTTAATCCTTAAACAGGGGGGGGAGCCGTGAAGGGAAATACATTTTAAATATAAAAAAAAAAATTGGTCTGAAGTTTGCATTTAATTATTTATTTCCATTATGTTATCTATCCATAGCTTTTAACTAGTATATATATTCTGTAAACAATAGTAAAAATAGTGAAGCAGTGCAATATCGTAAAGTGTTACTCAAATATACAGTGTAAAAATAAAGTGCAAAATAGAATTTAAGAAAAACGTATCACTTTAAAAACAATGTTATACTTTGTTTAAAGTACTGCAACCATCTATAAATTCTTGGCAAACCAAATCCAAATCAACAAAAACCAGAAACATTTTGCGCAAATATAACCCCAATAATTTGTGTATTACAAAACATCCAACTCAATGAATATGTGCCATGCAAATCCAGTACTCTGTATCTAAAAAGAACTAATATAAAATGTGCACATACTTATGTATTGTGTATATTACACTTGCTTATAGTATGATCCACAAATCTCATCACTGCCGGCTTGGTAAAAATAAAATAATTTTTATTATTACACTATTAAAACCACGGGAAATTCAGTGTTTCTTTCACTCCATCTTTGTCATCCAATCCCAGATCACACAATCACGGGTCCACTCATAAATGCCGCTCTTATTCTCCATGCAAACTTGGTTAGTTCTGGGTCTGACTGTGATGCAACGTGTTTTGACCCGCCTTTCGGTGCTTTCTTAAACATTATGAGCCCCATCACTGTCCGTATTTACAGCTGAAAGTCCAGTAAAATGTATGGTTACAAAATGTCTATAATTATGTAACCATGTGTTTATAAACTCCTTAAGGACCAAACTTCTGGAATAAAAGGGAATCATGACATGTCACATGTCATGTGTCCTTAAGGGGTTAAACTGGAAGTCCATGGAGATATATTGTTACAAAATGTCTTTATGTTAGAAACACGTTGCGCAGTCCAAAACTTGAAAAATAAAGAATATATACAATGTGTGTATCATATATCAATATATAATATGGATGTAGCTTTAGAGGAAACCAATAATTATTCCAGAGAACATTACATGAATTCATATAAACAAAAAGTCAATAATACATATAATCAAAAAGTCAATAATATACACTGCTTGAAGCAGAAACACTGCACATCCAAACTCGTACTACCATGACCACTTCAAAAAGCAGAAGGGGTCATGGTAACACTTAACCCCTTAAGGATGGCGGGTGTGCTATGCCGTCCTTGGGGACCTGGCTCTAAATGCCGGGGGGCGGCATAGCATGTCCCCGCCGTCCTTTGTACTTACCTGGTTGCCGGCGATCGCAGTGTGGGGACTCACCTGGCAGCCCATGGAGTCCCCCTACATCTGTTCCAGCCCCCCTGGGCCATGTGATCACGAGGACATAGCGATCACATGGACTGCATAGCTGTCCATGTCAGTGACAGCAGGGGGAGTGCCTGTAATGACAGGTACTCCCCCTGCTGCCTGTAAAAAAATAAGACAGTTTAACATTTAATTATATATACTTAGATCAAATATATATTTATTATATATTTGATCGAAGTGTGTGTATGTGTGTGTGTGTGTGTGTATATATATATATATATATATATATATATATATGTGTGTGTATATATATACACACACATACATACACTGTCTAAGTGTATTTTAATATTAATATATATAATTATATATTAATATCAAAATACACGAATGATATTGATTAAATATAAATAATTATCATTAAATATATTTATATATCATATAAAATAAATATGTAAATACGTTAAAAAATATATATTTATGTAAATTCGTTCTAACTGTATTTTAAAATCAATAAATATATATAGATATCAAAATACATGTAGAATGAAATAATATATCTATATAAATAAATATATATGTACATATCACTATCTATACCTATATGTAAATAAAAATAATAAAAAAAAACACGTTTTACTCGGAAGACTTTGCTGAACACATATTAATGTTTCAAAACTGTAAAATGTATTACAACAATATCATCAGTGAAAGTGAAATTTTTTGCATTTTTCCCATTTTTTTATATTTTATTCATATTAAATTGTTTCATACCTAAATATTTGATGTTAAATGAAAGCCCTGTTTCCCCTGAATAAAATGATACATGATAAGTGTGGGTGCACAGAATATGAAAGAGGTGAATTACGCCTGAACAGACATATAGCGCAAATTCAAGTTTTTGTTTACCTTTTGTTTTCATCACAACTAGTGATGTCCCGAACGGTTTGCGAAAGGTTCGCCGCGGACTCCAGCTAATATCAAGTATCAAGTTTTTGAGAGTTGCTCCACTTATCAAATCAAAGTGTACAACTCCCCAACCCTTGCTTTTTCAACATAAACATTCCCTAATGAAATCAAATAAAAAATCAGATACTGCAATACTCTATTTTGTATCTGCCTCACTGCAATACAGCTATTCACAACACAAAACCCCCCCACTATTTTGGAAATCATTAATAAGAAAATATCCATATAACCGTGACCACTAGCTGTGAGTACCAACATTTGGAAAGGGTCAGGAATCAGGATAGTAGTTGATCCAGCATGCAGAACTGTATAACACCTAGGACTAAAGGTAACAATTACCGGGCCTTAGAATGGCTGGACTTAACATACCAGAGAGTAGTGAGAATACTTGCTGAGGTCGGGCACACAGAATGAGACACAACAATGAAGGAAAGCCAAAAGTCTAGGATACCAGAATATAGGGAAGTTAAACGAAGCCAAAGTCAAAAACCAGAAATAAACACTCAGGAACACACTCTCAGACAACCAGTAAGGGAAACCACTACAGGGTAATGAGGGAAGGCAAAAAAGGAGTTTAAATAAGTCTACTTTTAAATCCGATTGGCTGTACTCTGCCTCTGACCCCAGAACGTGCGCACGCGTCCTCTGCGTGACCTCACACGCATGTTGCCGTCGTTAATTCCGCGGTCGGACGTGGGGCTACAAATTGGCATGGGTCCGTAGCGGCCGGCGTCTTTCAATATGCCGTAGGAGTCAGACATCACGGTACAGGGCTGCCGACCAGCATCTCCACCAATGCCCGGAAGGTAGTTATCCCCAGAGATACCACATGGTGAGGATGAACATGTGACATTACCCCCCATCTGAAGACCGCCCACTGGGCAGGCAGGACCAGGTTTGAGGGGAAATTTGGCGTAGAAATAACGAATCTTTCGACCAGCATGAATATCTGAAGCCTGAACCCAAGAACGTTCGGCAGGCCCATACCCCCTCCAATTAACCAAATACTGTAAGAAAACACGAGAAAACCTGGAATCGATTAAGGAAGAGATATCATACTCCTCCTGCCAGAAACAACCAACGGGGGAGGTGGAACACTTATACCTATTGCAAATAAGTGGTTTGAGCAAAGAAACATGAAAGGTATAAGGAATATGTAAGGAGGCAGGGAGAGCCAGAGAATATGAAACAGGATTAATTCTTTGAAGGATACGAAATGGGCCAAGGAATCTGGGAGCAAACTTCATGCTAGGAACTTTTAGTTTGATGTTACGCGATGATAACCACAGCCTCTCACCCACTTGGTAAACAGGATTGGCACCCCGCCGTTTATCAGCATGATATTTGAAACGCTCAGCCACAGTTTTGAGAGCGGAATGAACCAGGTCTCATGAATAGAAGTAAGGTGATCATCCAAAGCAGGGATAGCAGTGTCAGAGAAAACAGCCGACAGGACAGTAGGATGACGCCCATTATTAACAAAGAATGGGCTATGTCCGGAAGAGTCATGGGTAGCATTGTTCGTATCAATTCGGACCAATTATCCTGTGTGCTATTAACAAAACAACGCAAATACAATTCCAATGACTGGTTAGCCCTCTCAGCCGTACCATTGGTTTGTGAATGGTAAGAGGAAGAAAATGACAATTCAATGCCCAACTGTTTATTGAAAGCCCTTCAAAACCGAGACACAAACTGAGAACCTCTGTGAGATAAAATATTGTGAGGAATGCCATGCAGTCGGACAATTTCTCATATAAAAATATGACCAGGTCTTGAGAGGATGGCAATTTTTTGAGTAGAACAAAATTAGCCATCTTGGAAAAGCGGTCAACCACCAAAAGGATGGTGGTATAGCCATTAGAACTAGGAAGTTCTACGATGAAATCTATGGACAAATGGGACCATGGAACACTAGGTACAGGAAGTGGGTGCAACAATTCACATGGAAGTTTATGAGGAACCTTAGAAACTGCACAAACTGGACAGGCCTGCACATATTCTTTAACATCTTTCCTGAGAGAATCCCACCAAAATGATCTCAGGATCGTGGATATGGATTTATTAATGCCTGTGTGTCCAGCAGTCACATTGTTGTGGAACACCATCATGACATTTTCTCTTTTAACCAATGGAAAAAAAAAATTTATCTAGTGGTTTATTGCATGGTGCCTGAGACTGAGCCTCCATAATAGTGCCAAGCAGAGGGGATGATAAGGAAAGAACAGTGTAAACGATGATACACTCAGGTGGAACAATAGGGGATGTCTCTTGTTCGTGTACTTATTCAGTATCAAACTGTCTAGATAAGGCATCTGCCTTCACATTTTTGGGACCAGTTTTGTAAGTTATAAGAAAGTTAAAGCGAGGTAGGAACAAAGACCATCTAGTCTGTCTAGAAGAGTCGTTTAGCATCCTCTATATAAGACAAATTCTTGTCGTCAGTAATGATCAAAAGGGGGTCCTTGAAACCCTCTAAAAAATGTTGCCACTCTTTAAGCGCTAGTGTAATGGCCAACAAATCTCTGTTGCCAATATCTTTATTACGCTTAGCAGGAGACAACTTACCCACATGGATGCAAAGGGGTTTCCTGACTCTCCCTCTGAGAAAGAACAGCCCCTACCCCAGTTTCAGAGGCATCAACCACCAGTATGAAGGGTTTGCTGGTGTCAGGATGTATCAATATGTCAGCAGAAGCAAACCTTTGTTTGAGAAGTTCAAAAGCTTCTCTAGCTTCCTTAGACCATATCGTACTGCTAGCCCCCTTCCGTGTCATATTGGTGATGACGGCTATGACAGAAGAGAACCCTTTGATAAATCTCCTGTAATAATTAGCAAACCCAATAAACCTTTGGATGGCTTTTAGTTCATTGAGCAATGGCCATTGTAGAACAGCCTATAATTTATGAGGATCCATCTGAAAACCAGAGGCAGAAATGTTATACCCCAAAAACTGTACTTCAGTCTGGTCAAATATACTTTTTTCCAGTTTGCAAAAAGTATATTTTTAAGTAAAGTTTGCAGCATGTTTACATGTGAAGGGTTAAATCCTGAGGGACCTGGCACCTAGACTACTTCATTGAGCTGAAGTGGTCTGGGTGACTATAGTGTCCCTTTAAGTTGGTTCATTAGGTAACCAATCTTAACTCTATCCGAGGAAAAAAGATCCTGGTGAGGCCTCAAAATGGTACGCAATCTGATTGAGAAATCCCTGGCATTCTTGAATATTACCATCAATATGCAACGGAGGAAATATGGAGATGATAAGTGCCTTATGTACTATAGTTGGAGGTACTTTAGGCAGAGGTGACATAGTCGGAGAAAGCTCAGGCTGAAGATACGCTGTTCGAGTAAGAAGCGCACTGAAAGCCTGGGCAAATTGATCCATACGGTGATCATTCTCCAAAATATGCGAGTGTGCTGAGCTCTATTTATTAGATCTCCTGTGACGTCATGACGCCGACACACGTGCGCCGCGTCATAAAAAGGGGCGGGCGCACAGCGGTTGGTGAGAACAGGGTATCTTACACTACTCTGCCCAGACTAAAAAACTATTTTAATTTGTATTTCTTTAAAAAGCAAACCTTAAACTAAAAGTCTTGTCACTTTAATATACAAGTCTTGTTCAGATTTTAAAGCGAGTTGAAATATTTTCTGTAAATTTCCTTCCTGCATAATAATCCGCACCTGATCCATCAAGAATGTAAGGTTTCAAAAACATATTTTCTTTTTCAATAGATTTCATTCAGATCCTTAGCAAAAAAAAAAAAAAGCCCCAAAAAACTACGATATAAAAATGACTACAAAAAGCCTTATACCTTTTGAATATATCTTTCATCTAAATCATTCCACTTGAATTAACAAATCTGTCACACTTGTAGTTCTGTCTTAGGGCTCTTTGTATAAAGCTATAATGATCGTGAATGAAGTCAGCTAATGTTAGGAATAAGCTTTATCAACACAGAAATATACCCTAACCCCCCTCTTTAAATCATTAAAAAGACATGATTGTCTATACAGCATGTGCTTTTATTGGAGCACACATTGTACAGATGTTAAATGTTTATTTATGTAATGATAGGCATGCCTTTTTGAACTTGGCTAGTTCTTGGTTGTTATTCCTTTGAGATTTTGAGAATCATATGTGGGAGCTGTTCAGTCTTACCCTTGTTTCAGTGAGATGTACTGTAAAATTCACTCTTTACACTTTCCTTTCTTTTCCACACCACAGGATCCTTGTTAGCTCATACGACCAAGTTCACTTTGTTTACGCTCAAATTCACGAGAAAACTTATATGCAACTTACCTTGCTTATTGTGCATTATGTTCCTGGTCCAGGTTATGAGATGAAGAAGGAATAC